AGGAGAGAGAGAGAGACCTCCACATAAAAGGGAGAGGCGAGCGAAGATTGAAGCCTTATCGTCGCGAAATTGGTTCGAGGCATCGTATCATCCCGGCCAATCGTCTCTCAGATAAGTCTCAGAAAACAGAATCCCGGGCATATTGAATAAACATGGAATTTCAGTGATTTTACGAGGACCCTCGTCCACCCTCCAACCCTTATCCGGGCCGAAGATCTGCGGATCCACGATTGTTTTGGCAGACATCTCTCCGTTCCCCGAGCATACAAGAGCTGATACGTATGCTAATGCAGGAGAGGCGGAATTGAAAAAAGATCGGCAATTATGATTGACTCGGCAATAAGGCCGCCGTTATCTCGATCAGGAAATGAAATAGCACGAGACGAAACGTTCCTCGAGATCGGGATGATTGGAAAGGAAATCGAGTTGACATGTTTATCCGTTTACATTTACGCGGCTTCGCTATTGCGACTTTGTGCGAATTTGATAAAAATCTTCGATAAAATTTTTATCGAATCAAAAGAATCGGTAGAAATAGGAGAATTTAATTGATAAAAAGTTTATAAGAGATCTTGGAAACCTCATAACGTGTTAAATCTTCGTCGATTTAACAATATCCCTCGAAGGAATTCCCTGGTCAGAAAAATTAACCCAACAAGAAAAAAAATAATACAATTTATTAGAATTATTAATTTCTAAAGTTCCAACCTCATAACTTCATTTCAAGATTCTATCGAAGCCAACCCCCTAATTATCTCTTTGTAAAAAAAAAAAAAAAAAAAAATAACGACAAAGTGTTAATCTTAATCTCCATAAATTCAATTTTCCTACAAACGCGATATTCAACTCAAAAATCCAACCTTTACACACACATACACACACACCTTTATCACTTTACATTCGCGAAACGAATTGAGAAGCACGTTGAACGCGCGTAGATCGGCGGAAAGGCTGACGAGGGTAATTTTTCTTCCATCGCGTACGTAGCACGGTATTATTATCGGAAACGGGTATCAAAGTTGATAGATGGCGCAGGTAGCGCGTTAAATAATTTATGAGAGGACGAGTTAAACAATTTTCGCGTCCACCTCTGATCGTCCTCTCGATCTATCCTCGTCCCGAATCAGAATTTCTCCTCCTTTCCTCCCTCTTTCGCGAACGGAGGAAGAGGATGATACCTCGCTGATAATGTGGCCGGCCGCGTTAATGAACCTGACACGAGGATAATGACTCGGTTAATTCGAGCGCGGTCGAAGCGTGACATCGGCGTTGGACACAATGATCGACCGATCGTCCCGTAATCGTCGCTTCCGTAAATGGTATCTCTCGATTTAATCTAAGAATACGAATCGACCGTTCGTTTGCTGGCCGGCCGAAAGAAAATACGTAATTGAGAGGATTATACCAGAGAGCAGACGCCATTACTGTCGACCGACTTTTGCTGCATCCTCGACCGGATCGATAGCTGCCTTTGATTCCAGCTGATCCATCCTGATCGCTTTAATTATTTTCATAGATGGATTGAGATGTTTCTCGGATCCCGTTTCTCCATTCGAAACAGTGTTTCTCAATCTTGCTCGATTTATAAATAAATATAAGAATGCACGCATTCGTTCTTTGCGAATAAAATTAAAATTTTTCCTAAAGAGAAAGAGAAAGGAGAAGGATGAAGGAACGTTCGAAGAAATCTTGATTTAAATTTTTTCAGATTAAAAAGGAAAAAGAGTGAAGAAATTCACACGATCGTAAACGTGTACACTTTCCTTTGCATGAATTTCCATAAAGTATATATATATATATATACCAAGTAAAATATCGACGCGTCACTTCCCCTTTAAGAAATATAGAAAAGAAATTCATCCTTCGTTCGGAACCGGCTGTTCTCGACCACGTATAATTTTACATTCGAGACGCGTCCTTACGCTTATTTCCACGGATGAAAAATAAAAAAATATGGAGAGGGAGAGGGATTATTTACGTGGAAATCTGCATCGACGAGTCCGCGATCCCCTACAATGTTAACCGTACCCGCGCACACGCGTGCGTGTGCACACGTATTCTCACGTGTGTAATAATTTCCTAGTTACACGTTGGCGTAACTGGTCCTGGAAAATTGGCGTATCCCCTACTCCGGAGGGTGCACTTAAAAGATCTAAGCAGCCGTAATGCCGTGTGTTTGTCACAGGAAACTCGAGGAGTCGCTTTATAATGACGAGTTTCGCCGTGTTATGACGGATTATGAATACAAATTATCCTTCGGCGCCAACATCGTTTTAATGCAAGGGTAATTTATTACTCCTAACTCGTCGAGCTTCGTGCCATTCATCGTATCTTTCTCTTCTTTTTTTTTTTTTCCCATAATTTTTATCATTTCTATCCTTTTTTTTCCCTTCTCCTTTGTTTCAACCATGATTGAGTCCACGTTTAAGCTAATTGTCATCGCGCGCGAGAAGCAATTCGATACCGGGAGGGGTGATCGTTAAAAGATTGAAATGTCTTCGTTCAATGAGGATTACGATGATTTTTAGTATTATCTGAGATGAGGAAAAAAAGATGCATATGAATTACCGTGTAACACGGTTTTATTATACGCGTGTTACGAAGATGAATAGATAAAGGAGACACTTTGGATAATCAGCGGGTTTCGTTAATAATTCTTGAATGCGATTGCTTCTTACTATTCTACGATCGTTTGCGCGAAACGACCAATTTCTACAGGCATTCCTTCCTTTTCATCGTAATCGGGATAAACATCTCACGAATCTATGAGTGAATTACGAGCGAATACAAGCGCAGACGATTTTTTTGGGGGGGGGGGGATTATCAATGGACAGCGTTACAAAGTAAGAGTTTAAACACTGAATGAACGATTTCACGGTTTATCCTTTTATCGTTTTAATCGACGATGATCTTGTTACTTATGCTTCGCGATTTTTATGCTTCGATTCAATCTCGCGGAACAATGAATCGAGCAATAAACGATATTTAATTAATGAAAGGAGAAGTTGATTAATTTCTCAATTTCGCAAATGATATTAATTTATTTTTTATAAATTTGTGATTCATTGTAAGATAAAATAAAATTATTATTTTATCATTATATCATTATTCGTTACGAAGAATATATTAATTACGCGCATAATATCACAATAATATATCAATAAATTTCTATTCCAAATTCAATCGTGCATAAATAACAGCGGGCATAATAATTCTTATCCTTCTTACACATTCGATCGATGAATGCGGCAATCCATCAACCGAGCACACAATCGAATCTTATTCAGCGAAAGAACAAAGAATCCGAAACAATGGAAAATGAAATCGGTATAGGATAATTCTCGGCGATCGTCCAAAGATTAAAAGCGTGCTCGCGGCGAAACGTGTCACGAATATAAATTTCTTTTCATAAGGAAAGAACACACGGACGCTGTCCAGCTGCTATTTATTGCAACTTGGGTCATCGAGGCTCGCCCAGTCTCCTTTTGGTATCCCCTTGTCCAATTAAGATTTACCAATCGACGATAATGTTCGCGAATCGGCCGTGTCTCGTCGTTGACGGGAGAAGGCAGAAAGGAAGGGAAGAGGAAAAAAGATCGCCCAGTCGAGCATTAATCAGCGTAATTAGATGCTATTTATCCATCGGTTAATTCACTCTTTCCCTCTCTCTCTCTCTTTCCTCCTCGAGAATGGATATCGATCGATCCTCTCATTATTGATAATCTGTAATAAGTGGACGATTCAGCTGTACACGGTGG